GGGGGGGGGACAGAGACGAGCAAAGTCTAAAACGAGCTGCTAGGGCAAGTGTCCCAACGAAACCGCCACAGCGGGAGGGAGAGGGCAGGGTGGGCAACTTGGAGACCTCCAAAGAGAAAGCCACGGCTCCGATGACATTGAGTGACGGTGGAGACGGTTTCCTGTCGTTCCGCTACCGCTCAGGGTGTCACCCAAACCTCACAGCACTCAGAGACACACAGCGGGAGGCAGCCGGGGGGAAAGGGGAAGCAAAGATGAGGGTTTGGGGTGGGAGACGTCATTAATAAAGGAGAGGGGGGACCTAGTTTTTAGAAACAAGGCCTTCGTGCTGGGCACAAGAAATCAAGAGTCATGTTAAACTTATCATCTCAAGAAAACAAAAGTGACTTCGGGGAGGGGGAAAAATAATAATAATAATAAAAAAAAAAAATCGGGAGAAGAGAAGGGAACAGAAATTCCCCCCCCCAGCAGAAGAAACCACCGCGGTCTCCTACAGCGATGCCCCTGCTCAACAAAAAAAAAGAAAGAAAAAAGGGAAATAAAATTCAAAAAATCATGGAAGCGAAGGCACTCCAAACTATATAGATACACTATACATCGCTAGAGTTATTGTTACAATAATACAGGCCGGTACCTACTGTACAGAGTTAAAACTATATGGCTTTAAAAAGCTCGTCTACATTTTGTCTGATTATTAAACAGAATCACTGCCCTGAACGGTAACTTTTTGCTCATTAATAACAGTTCCTGGGTCCACATATTTACATACAAAACAATAGAACTCAAAATTCAAAAACAACCAAAAATAATAATGTACAAGCTTGAATTTGGTGAGGAGCTTTTTTTTGTTGTTGTTGTCGTTGGTTTTTTTTGTGTTTTTTTTTTTTTTCTTATTTACAAAAAAGGTTATTCAAAGACCTGGATCTAACTTGTATAAAAGAGTGTGTGATCCTGGCGTGATCCTTGAAAAAAAAAAAAAAAAGAAATAAAACCAAGGGGCGCCCCCGACCCTCCCCCCAGCCTAACACACACACACACACACACACACACACACAACACACACAGACGCCGGCACAGTCACAAAACCAGAGAGAAAAGCTCTTAACTCCCCTCTGCCAGTCCTAAATGAAAAGATAAAATTAAAAAAAAAAAATAAAGGAAAGCCACATTTCTGGCACAAGCAGCAATTTCTCTTCATTATTTTTTATTACTTTTTTTTTTTTTTAAAGACTCAGTAATTTACTGCCTCCAAATAACAGCGTCTGTGGCCAATGTTTCAGCAGTCTCACCCCTACAGCAGATCCATACCCTGCCCCTGTCCTACTTCTGGTTGAGTTTCCTGCATATTTGGATCACTGGGTCAGCCGAGCCCCTTCACTTACCTTGGGGACACCCGCCAGCCGAGCTCCCGCTTTAAGATGCTCTTCAGCCCTTTCTATTAAAGTTGCATGGAAAGATTTGGAAAGCCTTCCGTTTCTAAACGTGGGCGTGCTTTCCTTTGCAGCCAGCCAGAATTTAATGACAGCTAAAAGCTTTAAAGCCTGCCTTTTTTTTTTTTTTTTTTAGTGTGTGCCCGACAGCAAATGGCTGAGGGGAGTAACACCAGGGTTTATCGGTAGGTGGTCACTCACCTCTTCAAACAGCTCCTGCCTCCCCGAAACCCCCCCTTTGCCTCAGGCAGGAGGGCGAGGGCAGGGCTTTTATCACCTCTGGGGCTGCTAAGAGACACTTTCCGAAAATAAAATCAAATAAAATCCCACGTCAACAGCATAAAAGGTACAAGAGGAAACGCGCTGAGCTCGTGAGCAAAAACCCTGCGGTGGCCGAGCTCGATGACACCGCGACCACCGGCCACCCCGGGCCATGCCAGGGACCCCGCGTTCCCCAAAAAGCAACCGCTTGCCTGAAGAGACCCACAGGTCCAAGAACAGCTCGATAAGCACCAAAGGTGACTACAAGTCCCTCCCAAGGAGGGTAAGGCCCGAGCGGACACCAACCGCAAGCCTACGACAAGATGAGGTCTCCCAAAGGCTCGTTTCTACGCGGCGGCTGCGTCCGGCCGCTCACCTGACCCCTTCCCGAGGGATATTGCTTGGACTCCAGGAAGAGAGACCATGGGTGGGTGCTCACACCACGCGCCGTCGCGGGGAGGGAAACCCGGACCCTGAACAGATGGGACTCGAACAAGCATTCACCTCACGCCTCAGTCAGACTGTTTCGAGATCACAGACAAAATAATAATAATAAAAAAAAAGCAGTATTGTATCTATGTATACATGTATATATTTATATAATATATATACACACACACTCGTATAAAGCCAGCTTTCCTACAAGTCAGCAGGTACAAATTACTGTCGAGAGCACTCGGATGTGTATTTTATTAATATTCTAAAACATAATGGCGACGTGGCAACACGCATCAATAAATAGAGATCAAAAAAAGCAAGAGGTTAAAAAAAAAAAAAAAAAGATGAAATTAAATACAGATTCTAGCTGTGGATTTAAAATCAGAACTATCGGAGAGAGTGGCGTCCTGCAAGTTAAAAAACTGCAGTTTAAAAAAAAAAAAAAATCTTACAAAATAAACCAGTAGACTGTTACAGTTCACATTATAAACCCTGGTGTCCTTTTTTCCTGTACGCACCTTGGGAAAGGGAAGCCTGTTCAAATTGAGAGCCTGGGGGCGGGGGGAAAGAAAAAAAATGGCAGAAAAGAAAAATAAAAAGCTTTCACAGTGGCCACTTTCCAAAAAAAGTCCCTTAAGGTCCCCGGCTGGGCCCCTGCCTCCTCCGAGGACTTTGTTCGTCCGCTCTTCTCTGCTGAAGACGGGAGCTGCCGGCTCCCCCCGGCTCTGGGGCAGGGGCTCCGGCCGAGAGCGGGAGCTGCTCGGGTAAAAAAGCTCGTGATGGTGCATGTGTGTGTATTATATTATATACAGACCCCACGCGGGTGAGACTTTTCCTATAACGAACCTGCAGGCTTCTTCATCCCTAGTACTGACTTTTAAAACGAAAGGC